TCATATTTCAAAATTACAATATCATATTAATATATATATATATATATATATATATATATATATATATATATATATATATATATATACCCTGTCCATCAATTATCAAACATTACAATGCACATATGGGTGGCGTAGATTTGGCAGATATGCTAATTGCGTTTTATCGAACACCATTTAAAAGCCACAGGTGGTACCTTTCAATTTTTTCCCAAATACTGGATATATAATTCTGTGTTAACAACGCTTGCATTTTATATCGCGGAGATAATAATTTACTGGAGGACGAAGAAAATGGTATCGGTCTAAAGGAAATTAGAATATTACTTGTCGATTCCCTTCTATTTAAAAATTGAAAAAGGAGATCCTACGGAATTAATACACCGAAAAAAAAAAGATTCCTAATCACGTCCAGAATATACCTAGAGAAGATGTTAGAAAAGATCTTTTTGGACACTTTTTTCCAACTTTTACAACCAAACGACGATGTCGAAACTGTTGCAAAGGACAAACAACTATGAGTTATTCAAAATGTAGAGCGAGGTTATGTTTAGTGGAATCCCGTAATTGTTTTTATGATTTTCATAACTAAATTTTTTAATTTTTTAACAAATTATAATTATTACTTTTTACTTTTATTTTTTGAGAGTTCTAAGTTTTATTTAAAGTTTTGAATTTAAGCTGTAAAAATAAATGTTTGATCATCTTTGTAGTTTATTGAATAAACTAAATGATAAAATATTATGTTATGTTACTAAAAGTAAATGATAAAATATTATGTTTATGGTTTAAACCCCTACTTTATGGTATCTGTTCATAATAACTGAAGTAAAACACAAATCCACAAAATGTAGTAAAAACATTAAACAAATCTACAATTGTTTTGCTAAAAGTCTTGATAATGCTAAAGACCCTTAGCGAAAAAATTGTAGATTTGTTTAATGTTTTTACTATATTTTGTGAAAATTTAATAATTTCCATTTAATCCAACATTATTTAATATATTGGTCCAAACGACAAATATACCTCTTGGCAATGTATCTTTCTAGATACGGAGGTATTTTTCTCATAGCCTGGCAATGTATCTATTGGTCATCAGTACTTGTTTTATAGTATACCTGGCAATGTATCTTGCGAGATACATTGTAATATACCGTACGCCTAGCAGTGTATCTTATGAGATACAACCTCAATAAAATGTCAAAAAAATTAAAATAGAAACAAAAATGTAATTGACTCTGAAAATGGAGCCCTCAAAAGATAATATTCAGTAAGCAAAAACATTTTTCTTACAGCGGTTATGTGCGTGCCAAGTTAAGGGTTAAATAATCCTCACTCTGATTAGCTAATAGCTAATTCTATAGGTCTGAAACCAGTTGGGCATACACAGTTTAAATATAAAATCATTTTACTCAAAAGGCCAATCTTCTGTTTTATAAATGACCAGATGATATTATTGAACAATAAATAACCCATAGAAACTACACATTTTGAAATGTTTTCTACCATTATTTTTTTAGAGAAAGCGTAAATGTTAAACAGTGTTACAATTGTTGGAGGTTTGGTCACCTTGCAAAAGAGTGCAAAAAAGAGACACCCACGTGTCAGCAATGCGCTGGTGAGCATCACGTAAAAGACTGTAAATCACATATAGTTTGTTGTGTAAACTGCAAATATGCAGAAGAAGTTTTAAAAATTTCCAATATTGATTTGAAACATAAAGCATATGATAGGAATTGTGAAGCCTATAAGAAAGTAGTAGAGCGATTACAAGAAAAAATAAGGTATCCTGAATTATCACATGGTAATTGTAAAATATAGCAATCAAGTCCAACCATTCTGTACCTAAACATTCAAGGATTTAGCACACATAAAAACACAGTTATCATGGATTGCAAGTCAGAAAAAGCCAATTATTATGTGTTTATCGGAGACCCATGTTACCTCAGATTTTGCATCAAATGAAATAGATATTGATGGCTACAACTCAGTTGTTGGTTTTTCTTCAAGTAGACATACAGGAGGAACATCAATTTATATACAAAAAAGGTATCGTTATAAAGAAATTATTAAAGAAGAAAAAAACAAGAATATATGGTTAACAGGAATACAAATAACTATAGAAAACCAGAAATATTACATCTATTGTCTGTACCATTCACCTAGTGCAAGTCATGCGGAATTTTTGGAGGAGTTGGATGCGTTTTTAGATAGCATTGAGACTGATGCTATCTTTGTGATATTGGGAGACTTTAATATAGATTTGGCAAGTATAAACTTTTACTCTATGAAATTAAATGATATTATTATTAAAAATGGTACCTATCAGCTAATAAACGAATACACAAGGATTACAAAATCGACATCTACCAGGATTGACCTAGTACTTACAAATCAAAAAGACATTAGTTGCAAGGTGCTCCCAACTCCAAAGATTACAGATCATTCGATAATTGTAGCTGATCTGGGTAGAAACAATGAGACGACACTCACAAAAACCTATAGAAAGTACAATACAATGGATGTGACAGGATTTCAAATGAAACTTATGGATATGCAGTGGCCATCAAGTTCCTCTATAGATGTAAGTAACAATGCTGATATTCTAATAACTAATGTATTGTCTGCACTCGATCAGTTTGCTCCAGAAAAGTCTATTAATACGAAGGATGTTTGGGGAAATAAATTATGGTGGAATGAAGACATTGCGAATGAAATTAAAAAAAGAGATCAATATTACAAAAAGGCTATATTTACTAAAACTGATACTGACTGGGATGATTTCAAACAACAAAGAAATAGAGTCGTAGCATTAATCAGAATTACCAAACAAAATTATTATCAGGAAAAAATAGATGATTGTAAGAATGATCCAAAAAGAATGTGGAAAACATTAAAGGAGCTTGTAAACGGCAAAAAAAACCATGAAGCTAAAAGTGAAATAATATTTGATGGTGGGGGGGTTACTGGTAAAGAGATAAGTGAAAGATTTAATATATTTTTTTTAGACAGTGTAAAAGACATAGCAGATAGCATTATTTCAAACAAAACCCACCAAGAAATTTGTAGTTCAATAAATGTCGACTGCAAAATGGAAAAATTCAAAATGTTAGAAATGAAAGATTTAAAAAAAACAAATGAAAGAAATGAAAAACAAAGAAAGTAATGTTGATGGTATTACAGTTCAAATTTTAAAGAGTTCCTTTGAAGTAATAGGCGACAAAATTTTGCATATTATAAATGGTAGTTTAGAAAGTGGCATATTCCCAAGTAAATGGAAGAGAAGTCTGGTTGTACCAATTGAGAAGGTTCATGGAACTGTTAAGTGTGAGGAATTTCGACCCATAAATATGGTACCACCATACGAAAAACTGCTGGAATTATGTGTAAATGATCAAATAGTGGAGTACTTGGAAAGCAATAATGTGTTAACTAAATTCCAAGCAGGGTTTAGGAGAGGAAATTCCTGTGAGAGTGCAATGCAGACGGTTTTGTTTGACTGGAAGGGTGCGCTGGAGTGCGGGAAAATGATTGGTGTGGTTTTCTTAGACTTTAAACATGCATTTGAAACCATAAACAGACAACTGCTATTGAGAAAGATGGAAAGGTATGGCTTTGGTGAAAAAATTATAAAGTGGTTTCAAGAATATTTGACTGATAGAACACAAGTGACAAAATATGGTGCCATTTCATCGGCTCAGAAGTCTCTGTATGGTGTGCCACAGGGAACTGTGTTAGGTCCTACTCTTTTCATACTGTATATAAATGATATTGTTGATGTTGTTAAAAAGTGTAAGGTACAGTTGTTTGCCGATGATACTGTGATATATGCAATAGGGGATAAGGTAGATGAAATAATCGATATAATAAATGAAGAGATATGTAATATATTAAAATGGCTCGATAATAATTCCTTAAGTCTTAATGTAACTAAAACAAAAATGATGCTTATAAAGAATAAAAATTTTAAATTAAATAACATAATAAAAGATGTAAAAATTAATAATATTGCTTTGGAGAGAGTGGTTCAGTATAAGTATTTGGGATGTATTATAGATGAAAATTTAAGTTTTGTTGAACATTTTAAGTTTGTTACAAACAAAATAGCAAAAAAAAATCTATGCATTGGGAAGAATGTCAAAAAATTAAGTTGCTGGTCTAGGTTGACCATATATAAATCGATTATTGCTCCCCATCTCTATTTTTGCTCTACATTGCTGTTTTTAATGAATGCTTCTCAAATGAACGTACTGCAGAAAAAACAAAATAAAGCCTTAAGGATAATATTAGGATGTAGTGTATACACTAGTAGAACTGACATGCTAACAATGGCAAATGTTTTAAGTGTAAGACAGACAATTGTATGTAATAGTATGATTTTTGTTTATAAAATGTTAAATGGTCTGATACCTGTGCATTTGTGTAATAATTGTACCTTTGTTCGAGATGTACATGAACATAACACACGTTCTAGAAATAACTTTTATCTCAATAGGGTCAACACTAATTTTGGTCAGAACAATCTTTTTTATAGGGGATTAAAGCAATACAATGAATTACCGGAAAACATTAAGGCTTCTGGAAACTTAGCTCAATTTAAAAATTTATGTAAGACATATGTTAAGCAAAGCATTGTGATTTAATTTTAAGGGTATAAATTGATGTATCTACATGTATATTTTTCTAGCCATGTGCTATTAATAAAGATTATTATTATTATTATTATTATTATTATTTGTTTACAATTTTTAGAATTTTCAAAGTTATATCAATTATCTTTATCGTTCATCATTTTTTTAATTAATTATATATTACTTAAATTAAGCTTAATGTAGGTATACACAAATACAATTATCATCATTAAAGTTATTTTAACATATTTATAGAAATTGTATCTGCAAAAACTGGATAAGTAGGTACATACAAAACGAAAGAAGTGGTGTCTTCTAATTATTTTTTATAACCGAATTAAATAAGAATGCATAAATAAGTGGTTTACTTACATCTTCAAATATAGATCCAACGTTCGCAGTGACTAGTAAAACAGGTATAGTTGTTGAACCCATAATTCTTACTAAAGTGTGTTGCAATTAAAAGACTAGTTTAACGATAAAACTCGTACACTCAAAAATAGCGATTAATTTATAATAAATGTTGCAGTACCGATGTTGTTGTCTTCATTAAAAACATACACATTGTTTTAGGTTATTTTAAATAAAAATTGTTGACTTGGGTTTCTAGTTAATTTTTCTATTAAAAACTGAATTGCGCACGCATTTGAGACGAATTATTGATTTCTTTTGAGCTTTTCCAAATGCCCTTTCTTCTTTGAGTTTTAATCACATCGTAAAAATCACTATTAATAGAAATTAATCGAAACTCGGGACTTTAATTACATCACTGACCATTATTTACGTCAATGGTTCATTATTTCCGCCAATTAATTCGAATTTAATTAAAATACAACTAGATTTTCAATATATGTGTGAAACTACTTCATGAATTACGTATTTTTGTTTTTGTTTCATTCAACGTCTCAAATATAGAATAATATTCTTCCTCCGATCTCGAAAACGACTTTTCAAACAAAACAAAAAGACAGACTAAAAATAATTCAATTTTATAGGTTCCTAAGTTTATAGTTTATCATGTTGGTTGCCTGGATTCATTTTGACATTGACTTATTTTCATTTGATTATGTCTAAGTTGTATTATACCGGTTATACAAATCACATACAATCAAATAAAAGTTTTTTTACATAATTTGCGTGATTGCTTAAAATAAAATTGCTCAATGAAAGAAAGGACGAATAGTTATAAAGCGCTTATTACATTAAAAATATAGTGCACACCCTTTTTATCAAAAATATTTTAAGAAAGTAAAAAATTATTCAATGGGTAATAAAGATTCGATTTATATAGTTTTAATGGTACCCGTTAATTAATCACCCATTAATTCAAAAGGTTATAAGCAACGGAAAAGTATTGATTGTTTTTATGTTTTTGCATTTATTCAAATTACATTGGTATTAAAACAACTATTGTTTTATCAATTTTAATTATCAATATATGATTAAGGCCGTATGACACTATGCATTTTCTTGTATCATTTCTTATATCGTTTCTGATATAACAAAAAAATGGATAGTGTCATACAAGCGTATAGTTTCTTATATCAGAAACGATACAAGAATTTGTGTCCGCTGCATTTTCTTGTACAAGAAATGCGCCAATTTGTGCGCAAAGCCGCGAAAGCGTAAAACTTCTGTTATATTGGCGGCTGGAGGAGAAGTTTGATATACAATTAGACCAAGCAGACATCAGAGAAAAGTGCCCACCAACAATAACCAAGATTAGAAAATCAGTAGCCAAATTGAAAAACAATAAATCACAGGGATTGGATCAAATAGCATCGGAACTACTGAAAGTAGGAGATGTTTTACTAAAAACAGACATAACCGTTCTAAAAATTCGTGTGATAAGTTTAAAGATTATTTTATATCTCCAAATAAGAGAGTAGAATTTCAAGAACATGCCATTCAAACACACGATTAAAAAAAACAAATAAATCATTACAACCAAATTATTTATTATTTCTGTCTTCCATTACAGCCTGTTGAATGTCTTCAAAAATTGTGGTTTCCAATTTAGTTTTGATATTGGGACATTTTATTTCTTTCATTTTTGCACCACAGTATTTTGAAAAATAATCAGTAGCATACGTCCTCAGTCCCCAATAGCTTGGGGTTCTCAGGTAGTGCAGTTCTATGTTTAATATATGTGTCAAAATTTCGACCAATCATGTGCCAAATCATATACAATTTCCGGTAAAAGAACTTGCATAGTGTCATACAGGGCAAAAATGTACGTGCAAGAAACGATACAAGAAAACATAAATAACTTTCTATATCAGAAACGATATAAGAAATGATACAAGAAAATGCATAGTGTCATTTTCTTGTATCACGGCCTTTATAATTTATAAAATTCTCGTGTCACAATGTTAGTGCCCATGGGCGTATAAATAAAGATCTTTATTTATACTTCCATGTAGTCGCCATAATCCTGCGAAACAGATGGACCAATTTTAATGAAATTTTACATGTGTATTCGGTAGGTCTGAGAGGTAGGTTGTAATCCATTTTTTATACCCCCGGCAAGGGTAGTACACCATAAATATTTTTTTTAATTTCTATTTATTTTATGTTTTTATGACGTAGCAATAAAAAATACATAAAGCCCTTAATTTCCATCCCTTTATTACTAACACCTGTTTTTTAATACCCATAGTAGTGTTGCAGAGTTAGTTTCCATACTACTCCGAAATGGCTTAGCCGATTTTCATGAAATTTTACATATATATATATATATATATATATATATATATATATATATATATATATATATATATATATATTCGATAGGTTTCAGAATAGGTGATAATATATTGTTCATTCTCAATCTCAATCTTGAAATCGTATTCTTGAAGTCATTTGATCCATCTGGCTATCTGACCCTCTGGATTCTTAAACTGCATCAACCTCTTAAGGGCCGCATGGTCGGTTCTGATTAAAAACTCCCTTCCATAGAGATATTGATAGAAGTGCTCTACTGATTTCACTACTGCTAGAAGTTCGTTTCTCGTGACGCAATAATTCCGCTCAGGTTTTGAAAGAACTTTACTAAAATATCCAAGGACTCGTCCCTGTCCTCCTAGAATCTGAGACAGCACTCCTCCAATTCCCACATTACTTGCATCTGTATGTAAGACGAACTCTCCTGTTGGTAACTGTTCAGTGGAAAACGGGAATCTTGAGTTCTTCCAGTTACTTGTTGCTAAATATTATTTGGACTTCCCGTGGTTTTAGTAAAGAACAAAAGACCGTACATGAAACTATTTAATTACTTCTATGTGACTGTTATAATATGGAAAAAAAAACTTAATTGTTTGTAATAATACAACTAAAATATTACAAATATAAATTAACACTACATGTTGTTACATCGATGACTGGAAACAGAATAATGCTGAATGAGGGTTGCAAGGTAGCCTCCCAAAAGGTGGGTACTTGAAAAAATAAATCCTAACGGTAATTTCTAATCTCCTTTAGCGATAAGTCGTCGTAAAACTAAGCTATGCCGTTTTAAAGACGACAGGACCGTCGTCAGATCTTTTAAAGGTTTAACATCTCCTTCTGGCAGTGGATATCCTAAAATTGGTGCTGTGATTAAATGCTTTTTCAAGGCCTCGAAAGCATTTTGGCACTCTGTATCCAAGCGGTAATCTCTGCAGACTTCTTAATAAACCTCCGGTAGTAATAAGTACATAGTCCAAGATAACTTCTCACTTGATGTTTGTCCATTGGTTCTGGCCATTCCTTAATGGAATCGATTTTTCCCTTATCCACGGCCACTCTTTATGTACTGACGATATGACCCAGATAATTGACTTTACCTTGAAATAACTGGTACTTTTTAGGGTTTAACATCAATTGGGCAACTTTAAGTCGATTAAAAACGTTTTCTAAATTCTTCAGATGGTCTTTAAATGTCTCCCCCAAGAACATTATATCATCTAGATAAACCAGGCATGTTTTCCAAAAAACCCTCTTAACACATTTTCGATAAGCCTCTTAAATGCCGCATGAGCATGACAGTGTCCAAATGGCATAACGTTGAATTGCCACAATCCAGATTCTGTGGTGAAGGCTATCTTCTCTTTATCTACTGGGTCCATTTGTAGCTGCCAGTATCCAGACTTCAAATCCAAAGTAGAAAACAATTTACTTCCAGCCAATGTGTCCAATGTGTCGTCGATCCGAGGCAGAGGATAACTATCTTTCTTGGTAACGTTGTTCAGCAAACGGTAATCCATACAGAACCTCGTCGTTCCGTATTTCTTCTTAACCAGGACCACCGGAGAGACCCATGGGCTCGTAAAAGGTTCTATCACCCTGTCTTTCTTCATTCCCTGAACAATCGTTTCAGCTTCCTCTCTTTTCGCCTGTGGTAATCGTCGAGCTGTTTGACGAATTGGCTTAGCATTACCAGTATCAATTTTATGTTTAATAACGGTAGTTTTTCCCGTCTTTCCTCCTTTTGGTACGAAAATATCACGATACCGCCGAAGAAATTCCCTTAATTTCCTTTTCTCCATCTGATTCAGAGACTGTCCAGCAACTGCAACCATTTGGTCAAATTTGTCGTTGGAATTATCGGATGTTGTCGTCTGACGGATTATGGACGTCACACTGTGACGTTTTTTCTTAAATCGTGACGTTACCAGTGACCAAATCCACTGGTAACTTTAATATATAAATATATAAGATCAAATAATGTAAACTAAATTTAAACATATAACTTTTAACGGGTTTTTACCCAGATATTTAGTGGCTCAAAACATGTACACCTAAACACTGATAATGGAACAAGGATTCCGAAAACGTTTTGTGATATAGCCCGATTGGATTTTTAAATTATATGCCTTTTATAAAGAATTTTAATAAAAAGAAAGAAATTTCAGGAGGAAGAGAGCAAAGACAAATATAAATCAAATATAAAAATACAAATAAATAAAAAAGGGAAAACAGATATGAAAGGCTGCGCATGCGATTAAGTGGTCTGGGACGACATGCCACGCGCTTAATCCGAGAGTGGTTTTAGGGGTAGAGTGGTTTTAGTGGGAGTTGGCACAGCACACTCCCACCAGGCTTAATTTATCTGTGTTGGTAGGAAGGGTACCACACAGACCACTAGGGTCATCATCATCATCATCATCCAGCATTCATTTATCACGTCCACTGCTGGACATAGGCCTACCTCAAACTCCTCCATTCTTTGCGATTTTGTGCTCTTTGTTGCTATTTTTTCGTGATACGCCTGATGTCGTCAGTCTAACGTGTAGGCGGTCTTCCTCTACTACGTTTGTCTACTCTTGGCCTCCAATGTGTAATTTTACTCGTCCATCGTGAGTCATGCATTCTCGCTATATGGACTGCCCTGTTCCATTTCAGTTCCGATATGCGTTCCACAACATCAGCAATACTCGTTCTTCTTCGCAGATCTTCGTTTCTTATTCGGTCCCGTAACGTTACTCCCAGCATACTTAGATCGTTCCATTCGTCTCTGTGCCACTCTTAATTTCGAAGCTGTAGTCTTGGTTAGAGTCATAGTTTCCACCTCTCTTAGATATCTCTGTTTCCACCCCATAGGCCATGACTGGTAATACGCATTGGTCAAATACTTTTCTTTTGATACTAATTGGTATGTTGGCCCAAAGTGTGTCTCGCAGTTTTCCAAAGGCTGCCCACGCTAAAGTAATTCGTCTTTAGATTTCGCATGTTTGGTTATCCCTGCTGATTCTTATTTCGTGACCCAAATACCTATATTTTTCCACCAGTTCTACCACAACAAAGTGGTAGAACTGGTAGAGACCACTAGGGTACCATGGATGAATTCGGGGGAAAACATTCCAAAAAAGGAAATGCATTCGGATGTACTCCATCTACTCAACTCCAACTCACCAATCCAACTGTCACACACAAAATAATTGTATTTTGAGAACCATTTCCTAGTTGGAAATCGAAACGTCAAAATAAACGTATTTTCAACAGACATTGTAGTTTATTCACAATAGTTCCCAACAACTTTTGTTTAACCCCTGTAAATTTGTTTTGACACTGACAATACTAACACTGACAGACAGCTGTTAGATGTTACCTACACTGTTGTAAACAAAGGGATTGTGATTATTGTAAAATTTGTTGATTTCCTTTAGAAATTATTAAATATGAGTGAAAAGATTGTGATACTAAGTATTAACGGAAAGAACACGTCTAAAGTGGTATTTACTATGGTTAATAATTTGTAATAAAATATTTATTATAATTGTTTTTTAGCATATAGATCTTCCAGGGGACATTTCCGATTTACTAAAAATTGCTTCTATTAAGTTGAATATAGCAGCACAGAAAATATTCTTAGAAGATGGAACAGAAATCAGTGATATTAAGTTTATTCGCAACAAAGATTTGTTGTATTTTTCAGAAGGTGAAGATTTTAAACAAGCTCAACTTACAGTTAGCAATGACCATAGTTCAGATTGGATTACTTTAAATGTAGGGGGAAGGTGTTTTACTACATCTAAACGAACTTTAACAAATAGTGAACCATCGAGTATGCTTGCAAGAATGTTTTCAGAAGATATAGAAGGATATTTATTTACACCAAGCAGTATTGATAAAGATGGAGCCTATTTAATTGATAGAACACCAACATACTTTGAACCTTTATTGAATTATCTTCGTTGTGGACAGTTAGTCTATGATAAAAATGTTAATCCAGAAGGAATCCTCGAGGAAGCTAAATTTTTTGGTATTGAATCAGTAATTCCCTTATTGGAACAGATTATTTCAAAAGAGAAGCTCAATAGAGATACACTTCCCCTTACTCGTAGAGATGTAATTGAAGCTTTAATAAAGAGCCCCCATTCTGCGGAACTGAGATTTCAGGGAGTAAACTTGTCAGGGTCTGATTTGAGTAGACTTGACTTAAGGAATATTAATTTTAAATATGCCAACTTACAAGGATGTAATTTAATGGGAGCAAATTTGAGCTGGTGTTGTTTGGAAAGAGCTGATCTGTCACATGCTGTATTGGATACTGCTCAATTGTTGGGTAAGTTGTTAAGTTACAGTTTAATTTCTCTGTAAAACTTGTATCGCATTCTTCTTATTTATCAGTTTATTTCCTGCAATGAACATAACCTTATAGATATATTTGACATTCAATGTAAGCTTAATATATGTCAGTGTTGCCATATGGTCACCTATTTCATACTCATATTTAAAATTATGGGCAAGAACACTAATATAATTATATGAAATAAAAATTGAAAACAATCAAAAATGTGAAAAATTTGGTTAAATGTTAGTTGGTGGCAACAATAAACGTAGCCATGATAATAAAATATTTTATTTTCACATAATATAACCACTTTCACTGCACTCTGAAAGTACACTGCTTCTGCAAGTACTAGTACACTGCTTCTGTAAGTACTACTAATACCTAACAAAAAGCAGGTCCATTTTTTCAAAAAATGTTTAAAAAATTGTCACTGCTAACAATCTGTAGCAATCTAATAATTCCTGTTTTAAGGTTTCTGTCTCCATTGCCAAATATATCAGTTTACAAAATAATTGACAAATATATCAATTTACAAAATAATTTGCAATATTTAGCTACATTAAGTGATAACATGAATGGATTACAATGCCTTTTAAATGCCATTGATACAGTGGGAAGAGAGTTTGGCCTAAACATAAACTGTTCAAAAACAAAACACATGGTGTTTAGCCGTTTAGCACATCAAGATGCACGATTATTGTTGATGGTCATATAATTCAAAGAGTGTCCAGTTTTAAATGTCTTGGTTGCCATATTACTGAACAACTAGATCCAGATCAAGAGATAAAATGTAGAATCGAGATAGCCCACACGATATTTTTAAAAATGAGGTCATTCTTCTGTAATGATAACTTGAAACTTCAACTTCGAAAGCGTATGGTTAAATGCTATATTTGGCCAGTCCTCTTATACAGTGTCGAAGCATGGATGTTAAAAATATCCACCATTAATCGTCTGGAGGCCTTTGAAATGTGGCTGCACAGACATATACTAAAAATTCCATGGACGGCTATGCTGACAAATGTGATAGTCCTCTCTCTGCTCGCGAGCTGCTTGATAACATCAAATGTAGAAATATGGCCTATTTTGGACACATAGTAAGGGGAGACCGATATAATATTCTTCAGCTTATTATGATGGGTAAAATCGAAGGACGCAGAGGAATTGGTAGAAAGCAGGCCTCTTGGTTGAAGAATATCAGAGAGTGGACAGGAATAAAGAAAGCTGAGCAACTCTTTAGAATAGCTCGAGACAGAGACAGTTTCTCCATGTTAATCGCCAACATCAAGGGGACTTGATAGGGCACGTTAAGAAGAAGAAGAAGCTACATTTAAAGTAAAAAATAATTAAAAAATAATTTTATGAATACTTTTTAATATAAATTCAAAAATTGTGGTTTCTCATTAAAGACATAATTTCCTTTCATCTTTACATTTTGTAAGCTCCTATACTTTATACAAACAAATATGACAACACTGTGACACCCAAACATATAATTCAGATGCCAAGGTTATGTTCATTGCATGAAATACATATATAACCCAGATGTCGCCATTTGGTGTTATCTACTAATTTTCTTAACAGCATAATGTTCCGAAATAACGTTCTGCAGCAAAAATGTTGAACAAAAAATATTCACATGCAGATTATTAACACATTAAGTTCTGTCTCTTTTTTTAAGAGAAAACATTGGGCCACTGAGATGTTTTTGTGTAAACTAATTAATTTTAAAGGTACACTTTAAAAAGTCATTTATAATAAAGATGGGTATAAAAAATTAATTTGATCACAAAAAACTTACCGTGTCAAGTCAAGTTGGTGGTCATAGAGCAGAAAATGTATAGGTTGAACTTAAAAAAAATAATAATAATCTGTAAAATAAACTAATTACCTACCTAATTTTCAATTTCTTTATGAAAATGTCTAAAACAATTTTCTAAGCACAATCCCGGATGTTCAGGGCACTCTGCACAATAAAACAATGACTCCTTTGTTTCTTTTTTAGTTTGCCAGCAGTATTTTCATTATCGTCGTTTGTAATACCATTAGCTGATTTAGGGCAATAGGATGGTAAATGAAACATCAAATTTTTCTTGACTTGAGTGATTTTTGGTTTTGTCTCAAAATACTATCAATCACCGACAATTGAAAGTCGTACCATGACATTTTTGTATTAGAATTATTATAGAAATAGTATTCATTTGTGTTAGTAACTCTAATAATTTAACATCTGGTCGCCTAAGTCAATGTCACCTTTGTTTTTGTTATATTTGGCGACTAAACAGGGCTTTTCAGTTCCTTTCCTAGATATTGTTGGAACTATTTCATGACCAGATTCGGAAGAGATCATTAAAAGATCTTGCTGATCTTTCCATTTATACACACATATCCCTTTATTATTGTAAGCACTCACCAGTTCATTTTGTTTTAATTTTCAAGAAACAACTTTGTGTGGATTTTCCACTCTTCCTGTTTTCAATGTTCCCGTAAGATAAGTTTTAACCGAAAGTAGTTTTTTACACAATTGAACACTATTATAAAAATTATCCATATATAAGGAGTGACCAACATTTAGTTTCGAATCCATCAAATTTAGCACTACTTTTTCTGTATTACATCCTCCAACTAAGGGGTCATTAGCTCTACTATAAACTAATATGCATTGAATCATCCCGGTACATTCGCCAAAGTATACAGTTTACCAAAGTATACACCATATTTGTGTTGTTTGCCATTGAGAAATTGATGAAAACTAAGTCTTTCCTCTTCATAAAATCATAGATTCATCCAGGGCTCTATTTTCTTTCTGGATAAAAAATATTCTCCATTTTATTATTAAAAAAATCTAACAATGGAGACATCTTGGCAAGTCGGGACTGGTTATTGTCACTATTATTGTTAAAATGTAAGGAACGCAAAATTAACATAAAGTGATTTCGGCTCATATATTGTCCAAACACTGGAATACTAAATAAATGATTTTTATTCCAATAATCATTCATACAATTAATTTTTATTGTTCTCATGTTAAACAACAAGCCAAGAAAGATTATAAATTCAATTATATATACAGTTATATCCGTCCAAGCTGCAATTCTACTTTTCTCAGATTTACTTTGGGAAAGAATATCAATGGCATATAAATTGCTATTTTGAATAATCAGATCATAGAATAATTTACATGCCAATAAATTGAAGGGATTGCTGCCACCTACATTAATTTTCAATCCTGGTATTGCTGTAAATGGTAGCACTGTAGGATGTTGAACCTCTGAAGACGATTCAATAATTTTGAGACTCATCATCATATTCAGATTCTTCTTGTCAATTAGGATCTCTGTCCGATCATCTTCATCACAATATAAATCTTCATCACTTGCGTCACTGTCGTCGTGTGAATATTCTAATATGTGTAATAATTTATCATCTGAGAAGTTTCCCACCTACCTCGTTTAGAAGTCGAAGGTTGGCAATATTCATCACTCATTTTGAAAATAATTTAAAATTGAAATATTTAGCAAAACATGTGCAATGGCTCACAGTAAAATAAAAAGACATCCAACACCGAAGGCGTAGAAAATATTACTGAATGCATAGCAAAATAAACTGATGGGATTGGATTATGATAATGCAACAAATTATTGGAAATGCAATATAATCTAATTACATCTGGTGATTCTTTCAAAGCTTACCGATGCTTGTACTTTTATTACTTTACAACCTTTTATTACAGCTAATTTTGTCATTTTCGAGCACATCTAGCTTGAATATTTGAAAAGTAAGCAATGAAATTGAGGATTTCATATTCTATCTCTAATTTATCAATGGGCCAGAAGATATTTGTTATAATTTGTGAAAAATTCGCTGAGATAACATTCATACATTGTAATATACTCAGAATAAAGTTTAGCATCAAAATTCGAAAACCAAACACAAACTCCAGTGTAGCATTTTTCATATAAAAAAGCTTGCACGTCATTCAAGATTTATGTCGTCATAACTCTACAGCGTTGCCAAAACATCAGAGTAGTTATTAAGTGGGGAATTTTTAAAATGTCAACTATTTGTCAAACTATTATATTAATAGTAAATACATTTAGTTTTAAGACTACTGCAACTCATTAAAATACATAAGAAATCATTTTAATACAAAATTATATATTCTAAATTTTAAACTTTCCTCTTTTAGGGCTTTACTAGTAAAAACGCCATTATTTCTTGTACAAAATAATCTATCTTATATGAAAGCTTATCAGCTTTCTACAGACTATTTATTTGTTTTGACATATCACAATTACAATACTGAACAATAATTCGTTTTTAAAGCTATTAATCTAAATTTAATATGTATTTATAAATAAAATTTATTAATATATGTTATATTCTGATTAAATTGTGTAAGAAATCAAAACATAAACAAAACTCCTACTCTAAAAAAGCGACAACACTTTAAACACTTTTGCACACGTTTAATTGTCAATAAAATTTGAAGTATTTCCGTATCAGTTGCGTACAATTGTCTAATATATTTAATTAAAATTATTATTTTGTGGAATATTAGACTTAAAGAGTTATTTCATAACATTTATATTATTAATAATAACAAATGTTTTCGGTTATTTAATCAATATAATTCTAAAATTTCCAATATAATGGTGATTACATTTTTCTGATTATTAGGTACACCATGTTGACGCCTATGAAAGATCGAGCAGTTCCGTATGGGATTCGTATTATTAGATACGAAAATTTGAACTCTAAGGTTGATGTTCTGGACATTTTAAATACAAGTGACGTCACTTTGTATAAATTGTGACGTGCAAGTGTTTTACTTTGAAAAAGGATATATATGCCAGTGATTCCAAGTGGCCAGCAGATATTTGTTGTAATTCGTGAGAAATCCGCTGAGATAACGTTCATATATTGTCAAATAGTCAAAGACCGCGCGACTCGCGTTGGTGGCCTCTGAGGCTATATTCACTGAACACGACAGTCGCATCGTCGGACTTGAACGTGTTAACAAAATAAAACTACAATAATTAAAATCAAAGTTTATTTTTTAAACTTTATAGTCATTTAAGTACATAGCATTTAAAATTAATGAAGACACCCAGTACACATTATTATTATTTTGTGGAATATTAGACTTAAAGAGTTATTTCATAACATTTATATTATTAATAATAACAAATGTTTTCGGTTATTTAATCAATATAATTCTAAAATTTCCAATATAATGGTGATTACATTTTTCTGATTATTACACCATGTTGACGCCTATGAAAGATCGAGCAGTTCCGTATGGGATTCGTATTATTAGATACGAAAATTTGAACTCTAAGGTTGATGTTCTGGACATTTTAAATACAGGTGACGTCACTTTGTATAAATTGTGACGTGCAAGTGTTTTACTTTGAAAAAGGATATATATGCCAGTGATTCCAAGTGGCCAGCAGATATTTGTTGTAATTCGTGAGAAATCCGCTGAGATAACGTTCATATATTGTCAAATAGTCAAAGACCGCGCGACTCGCGTTGGTGGCCTCTGAGGCTATATTCACTGAACACGACAGTCGCATCGTCGGACTTGAACGTGTTAACAAAATAAAACTACAATAATTAAAATCAAAGTTTATTTTTTAAACTTTATAGTCATTTAAGTACATAGCATTTAAAATTAATGAAGACACCCAGTACACATTATTATTATTTTGTGGAATATTAGACTTAAAGAGTTATTTCATAACATTTATATTATTAATAATAACAAATGTTTTCGGTTATTTAATCAATATAATTCTAAAATTTCCAATATAATGGTGATTACATTTTTCTGATTATTACACCATGTTGACGCCTATGAAAGATCGAGCAGTTCCGTATGGGATTCGTATTATTAGATACGAAAATTTGAACTCTAAGGTTGATGTTCTGGACATTTTAAATACAGGTGACGTCACTTTGTATAAATTGTGACGTGCAAGTGTTTTACTTTGAAAAAGGATATATATGCCAGTGATTCCAAGTGGCCAGCAGATATTTGTTGTAATTCGTGAGAAATCCGCTGAGATAACGTTCATATATTGTCAAATAGTCAAAGACCGCGCGACTCGCGTTGGTGGCCTCTGAGGCTATATTCACTGAACACGACAGTCGCATCGTCGGACTTGAACGTGTTAACAAAATAAAACTACAATAATTAAAATCAAAGTTTATTTTTTAAACTTTATAGTCATTTAAGTACATAGCATTTAAAATTAATGAAGACACCCAGTACACATTATTATTATTTTGTGGAATATTAGACTTAAAGAGTTATTTCATAACATTTATATTATTAATAATAACAAATGTTTTCGGTTATTTAATCAATATAATTCTAAAATTTCCAATATAATGGTGATTACATTTTTCTGATTATTACACCATGTTGACGCCTATGAAAGATCGAGCAGTTCCGTATGGGATTCGTATTATTAGATACGAAAATTTGAACTCTAAGGTTGATGTTCTGGACATTTTAAATACAGGTGACGTCACTTTGTATAAATTGTGACGTGCAAGTGTTTTACTTTGAAAAAGGATATATATGCCAGTGATTCCAAGTGGCCAGCAGATATTTGTTGTAATTCGTGAGAAATCCGCTGAGATAACGTTCATATATTGTCAAATAGTCAAAGACCGCGCGACTCGCGTTGGTGGCCTCTGAGGCTATATTCACTGAACACGACAGTCGCATCGTCGGACTTGAACGTGTTAACAAAATAAAACTACAATAATTAAAATCAAAGTTTATTTTTTAAACTTTATAGTCATTTAAGTACATAGCATTTAAAATTAATGAAGACACCCAGTACACATTCCCATTATTTATGATTATTCTTCTTTTTTTTTAATGAAATATTTCTGCAGCAGTAGGTTTATTTGAGTTATTAATAGTAGACAGTAGCGATTTTTGTGTTACATGTTTCCTACAATTAATTTGTTATTATATTTAATTTAAAGCTTAGCGAATGAACCATACTATATTATCACATTATCCCTCTCTAGTACCATCTCTCCTTGTGGAATATTGGATGCTTGTGGGTTTCTTGTCCAAAAGCGTAAATTGGCTGTCTGGCATAATCACTGCAAGTATAATATTATAGTGATAGTATAATAGTACAAAATCTACGATAGAAGTGTAGAATCTACGGTTTCTTTTTGTACAATTACTTAAGGACCACCTTGTATATGTCAAGAGCAGCATATTTTATTTAAAAAATAAATGAACAAAATAAAAATTTTGAATTAAAAATCTTTGTGACACTCTTTCGGCCGGTTTCCGAAACGTTATTCAAATCTCCGATTATCTAATCGAGCTGTTAGATTTGATTAACTGTTAACCTGACTGGCAACATATTATCAATGTATTCTTCTAATTTTAAATGCATGTAAAAATGTGATTTTGATTAACTACATTATGAACATGGTGATCTTGCAGTGGGATCTTAGACTATAATAATTAAGGAAGGTGTATAATTATCATTTTGAGATCTTCAAGTTAAGGAAATGTAAAATACCAGTAACACTTGTCGCTGTAATTAAAAATTATTCAAAATTTGTTCCGGCACTTTGATTTCTTGCTATTTCTTGCTGTTTAATCTACCATGTTATTTTTTGTACATTAGCCAATTTCTGTGTTTAGTTCTAGGAATAATATACTTACAAACATTTTTCTGTTTAATAAAACAAAATAAACATGTTGTTATTTTAGGTGTTAAAAGTTTGTGTGCCAATTTTGAAGGAGTAACTATGAGAAACTGCAATTTTAAAGATCCAGCAGGAAGTAGAGCTAATATGGAAGGTGTTAATCTCAAAGGTGCAATTTTAGAAGGTAGTGATATGGGTGGAGTGAATTTGAGAGTTGCAACTTTAAAACATGCCAATTTAAAAAACTGTGATTTAAGAACTGCTGTACTTGCTGGAGCAGACTTAGAGGTAAAAAATATACAACTTTATCAATATTTTTCATATGGAATAGTGAATATCAAATAAACTATTACAAATTCATTATATTTTCTCAGTTAAATGTTGGAGAATAAAAGAGAGGATAACAGCTACTTCATGTATATAATTGAAGATGTTTTATGTATTTATTTATTTGGCAAAAGTATAGAGAAAGTGCCGATGAAGTTAGCTACAAATGAGGGACAGATTTGTATTTGGCAGTGTTGCCATATCACAAATAAATCATGAAAGAGCACGCGATATAATATAATTGTTACTAAACATTCTTTTTAATTTTTTTAAAAGAAGCTTAACTCATTTAAATTTAATTTATTATAATTTAAATTAACTTTAACTTTTTAAGCTCTTATTCTTAAGTTTTTAAAGTATTCATGTACCATGTTATCCAAAAATTATAAGAAAATAGGCATAAAATTGAAATCTGCTGAACATCTGTTGCAATCTGGCAACTAGTGTTTTCAAAGTTTTAACAATATTGCCAAGTTTATTTGCTAATCTACCAAAGGCCAATTATAAATTCTTTTTTCTAATAACTAACTCCAACTAATATCAAAAGAAACAAATATTCATTCGTTCGTGTTTTATATGAATTTAAAATTTTTTTAAAAATACCCGATTTCATAAAATAATATGTATAAAAATGTACTGTTTCAAAGCATATTGAGGCATAAAACATATATATATATATATATATATATATATATATATATATATATATAAATTCAGTTGTTTTCCGGGTTTGACTCCGCGTTAAGTAATTTTGGTTATTAGAAAAACCATTGTTTTGACGACGTTTCGGCAAGGTCACACTTGCCATTGTCAAGTCAGATTAGTTCTGCTTCGTCTTGATGTTTCAGTTCTCCGTTTCTCAATGGTTTTTACTAAATCCAGTGATATTCCCTTTTCATATAATAAATGTATCGCGTCCCGAATTCTCACTCTATCAAACGCTTTCTTCAAATCTATCAACACATATAAGCTGGTTTGTTGTATTCCAGCGACTTTCAGTAAATTCCAGTAAATTTACAATTTACTGTTTGTATTTTGAGAACGATTTCCGAAGTGGAAATTGAAACGTTAATAAACGTATTTTTACCTTTAATTGTGGCTTATTCCCAGTTAAATAGTTATTAATTTAAAATGCCACAAGAAAATAGCTTCAGAACAGTTAAATGATTTATTGTAGATTTAGGGCTATCTAAAAAAGCTTCAGAGGTCTTACCATCAAGACTGCCCAAGAAAAAATTGCTTGAAAGGGGAGCTAAGGTATCATATTTTTGATCAAAAGAAAGTGCATTTCTGCAATACTTTTAAAGTCATGGTGTATTATTGTGTAATACCATAATGTACGTGATTTAATGGAAGAGTTAAGAATTTCAGCGTTCTCTAGCCTGTCATTTGAAAAAATAAAGGCCTGTTTTTTTGATAGTACACAAATTCAGCAGTTTCTTAAAGATGAATATTTTACCGAAACAATGTCAGAAATTGAGAAGAATTCTTGGTTAGCTTTCATAAACGTTACTTTCTTGAAAATACACGAACACAGAATTACCCTGAAATTGTCCAGCAACCCTTGGATAGCTTAAAACTGCTAGGTTGCAACATGAGTGTTAAACTGCTTTTTTTACGTAGCAACTTTGATGATTTTCCGGAAAATCTTCGAGCAGTCAGTGATGAGCAGCGTAAATGATTCCACCAAGATTTGAAGATCATGTAGGCACGGTATCATGGTAGATGGGATGTACATATGATTGCTAGCAAAATTGTCCTTAGCACTCTAAAAAAGCTATAAGCGATTTTTTAATATGTAATTACCGTTCGTTACTTAAACAGTTATTTGTGTGAGCACAATTTAACTTACAGTAAATGTTTTTCTACACAGTATATTTGGTGAGTTTTTTATTATACTTATATGCACAATTTTTATGACTTTTGAGGTTATACTGTATCTTAAAAAGTTAATGTGATATACAAAATCTGTGGTTATTTTTGGATTCAGACACCAAAAGTTAGTTGAAGATTAGTCTTCAACTTAGATCTTAAGTCACAGATTTAAGACAATGAACTTGCTGTTCCACTGTTTTATTTAGACTTTTGGTAAATAGCCAATAATTATTGACATATGAATTTGTTTCAGAATTGTGATTTGTCTGGGAGTGATTTACATGAAGCCAACCTGAGAGGAGCCAATCTCAAAGATGCCGCATTTGAATTGATGTTGACTCCTCTACATATGTCTCAGACCATACGGTAGTTAGCGTTGTTAAGAAACAGCGTTTGGGAAAATACACCACGAATTTAACGTAAAATCATATATGTATGATTCTTATCCTTTTTTAAATCATCTATAACAGTTTAGAACTGGATACCATATGTTAAAATGATTATATATTTTCACTATACAAGGTTTTAGAAAATGTGCTTATATATTCAATAAGCATATGTTATATAATTTATGGAAATTTCCTTTAGTAGGCATTTATTATTTGATTTGAGCCGAAGGAACGTTATTTTTGAATTTATTTCGGAGCTAGTAAACATATTAATTTATATAGGTGTCATTCAGAAATTATTAGCCCCCAAAGAACTGATAAACTTGCAATATGATAATTAGAAGTAAGATACTTAAATAATAATTTGATATGGCTGAAAACCTTGTGGCATGCCTTGTGCAAATATCACTAATTAAGTAACAAGTTTCTTAACAATTCGGGCAATAATAAAAAACGTTAACATTGGATTGTAATTTATTTATTTCGTGTACAAACGACTCTGCCCATACTTTTTACAGTTTAAGTTTAAATTGCTTAAAATACTGCAGTATTTATGAATAAAATACAATTAAATAAAAATTAAATTAAAAAGATCAAATCAAATTAAAACTTTCATATTTGGTTTAACCAGTGGTTGACATAAGCGATTGCGTTCCATTAAGTCTGCGTCACAGCATTCTTGTTCACAGTTTATGAGACGTCTGCAGTAGGTGTCTTATTGATCGAATCAGTTCGCATGCACAGCTGTCACCACCCTCAATGGATCCCCAGGATATCATGTTTTGTGTGGATTTTCTGATACTTGTATGCAGTCTATTTAATGTTCTTCATATTTGCCAGTCATGTTGTGCATCTAGTGGGAGTACTTCTAAGCTATTTGTGATATTTCCTGTTTGCTTCTCTTCCCACATTATGGATTTCGTGCATGCTCTGCGTTTTTCTTAACTAGGGGAACGAGGCTTCACAATGTCTATTTTATAAGTGTGTCTGGATCGCTCCCAAACGGGGCACACATATTCTGCTATTAAAGAGGCAGAGTGCTAGGGCTGTTGTTTGTAACATATTTAGATGAGTTTCCCATTTGGACCATGTTAGTCTTTAGGTACTTGAGAAATTGACAATGTGATACCATTCCATCCGCTTTCCCCTTTAGTATGTAGACAAAAATTTAAGCTCGTCTGTAAGATATTCTTCTATGTACAAAAGGCTACTAAATTGATAGGCGGTTGCATAAATAAATGTTTTTAACGCATTACGGATCGGTTGGTCAATATTAAACATGTTAGATAAAAGTACTGGTGAGAGTACCCCTCCTTAAGGTACTCGGTTTTTTTGAGCACGCCTTATATTTGTTTTTCCCTGGAACTTAACATGGAAACGTCGGTTAGTCAGAATTAAGCGGAGGACTTCAACTATTTTGTAGCTTTTTGTTATTTAGTGCATTATGTTCAGCAATATTCGATGATTAACAGTATCGTATGCGACCGTTAGATCAATAAATACGATTCTGGTCTTTAATCGCTTTTGATATCCGTCCTCGATGGACTGGGTAAGATTAATTATTTGGACAGTACATGACCTTCCCGACCTAAAGCTTGTCTGTTCCTCTACGAAGTTTTCTTCTGTGGATTGATTCTATTGAATATTAATCTTTCGTATAGCTTGAATGCTGAATACAGGAGAGAGATATGCCGGTAGCTTTTTGGATTCTCTTGACCTTTTTCTGGGTTTAATACAGCTACCACTTTAGATTATCATAGCCTATACTCAACTTTGATTTAGGAAATTTAATAGTCATGTTTTCGAAAAAATGCTCATACTTTTAAGGACTTCATTTTGTAATGTAACATAGCAAGGAAATAAAAGAAAAAAAATAAGAGGTAGTTAGCCTAGAAAAGAGTAATAATTATTTAGATAATTATTATATATTCCAAATTAAATATAGAACAAAAAATTCAACATAGTTTAACGTATACATTTCATATTAAACAAAGAATGGAAATTCGACCTAGTTTAACGTGTATTACACAAGCTCGAAACCAAGGCAACTCCGAATGTTTAAAAATTACGAAACTATAGACCTTCGTTGGAAAATAATACAACGAAGCGACACACCATCGCATGATCCATTCTAAAACGTGGAACAGACGGCAGAATCAGCAAAAAATTAGGAATATTCGCGGGACGTAAAAAACGAAGTAAATTGGTCAACCGGGCAGTAAGTGCGGGAGACCCGTGAGGGATCAATGCCAGTAAGTGCTGGCGACCGGGGCAATAATTACGCGGCACCAGTGGGCGCGTTATTGGATTCCGACGGGACAGTAGTACCGGATATTTCGTATCTCGAAAAATGCGTGATAGCGTGTAATACCCTCAACAGACGGTTGGACTCCAGTTGGACTGGAAAGGCGTATTCATTAGCTAGGGTCTAAGTATGCGAAGGTAACTAAACATAAATACTAACCCAGGGGAATATAAATATAATCGTAGATTGTCCACCCTTTAGTTTTCTTGCTAAGGTCTCTTCTCGTCTCCCTTCGCGTCTGAATAAACAATAATTAGTTATAACTGATATCTTGTTGTCTTAGTTGTAGTATACAGTTTATTTAATTCATTGTAAACTCGAAATTTGGTTTTATTGTACTTTCCCGACCGTTTACAGGTAGAGACTAGAAGAGAACACATTTTCGCTTATACATTCCTCCGGCTTCTAAAGCAAGCCCATAGACTCAACTCTTTACAGGAACTGAAACCTGGATGTTCTTCATCCCCTTCTACCAATTTTTCCTACTCTCTTAAAATCCGCGAGGGCGAAACCAGTCCGTTCTACTAGTGTAACTAGTAAGCCTTGCCTCCACTTGTAGAGATCCCCTTAAAAATTATAGACGCATTTATTTCAGGTGGTCCCCCCGTCTTTCACAATTTCTTATGCCATCTAGGTCTGCTACTTTACCTATATTAAGTTCTGCAATGACGATGTCTAGTTCGTCCATTGTAAATTCTCGGTCGATTTATCAGGCTCTAGGTACTGGCCTCTCTTTGTCAACTACTTGTTTTTGTCCTTTAAACGGGTTAAAATTTTGTAGAAGTCGTGTAGCTATTCGATTTGGAATTACATTGACGGGTGGATTGCATCTTCTTCTTCTTCTCGTGGCACTCCTAGCGGAGATTGGAAATCATCATGGCCACTGCGACTTTGTTAGCAGCGCGCCTGAAAAGTTCAATCGAACTACACCCGAACCATTCACGTAGATTACGAAGCCACGATATTTTTTTTCTTCCCACACTTCTTTTGCCCTTAATTTTGCCCTGCATGATGTTTCTTAAAAGTTCGTACTTTTCACCTCTCACAATGTGCCCCAAGTATTCCATCTTTCTAGTTTTTATCTCATTTAGAATTTCGCATCTTTTGTCTAAAGTTTGGAGTACTTGCGTGTTAGTGACGCGGTCCATCCATGATATTCTGAGAATGCGCCTATAGCACCACATCTCGAAAGCTTCGATGTTTTTTATGGTCAACTGTTTTAGTGTCCAAGCCTCAACTCCATATAACAGGGTAGAAAAGACATAACACCGCAGCATTCGTATTCGTAACTTTATATTGATATCACGATTGCAAAAGAGTTTGCGCATTCTATTAAAGACTGATCTAGCGATTTCTATTCTACATATAATCTCTTTTGTTTGATCAATATCGTCTGTGATCCAAGCACCTAGATATTTATAACAGGACACACGCTCAAGCGTTGTAGTGTCTATTACAAGATTAGCTCTGATGTTCTTTGATTTCGTGATTACCATAAATTTAGTTTTTTTCAAATTAATTTTCAAGCCGTAACTGTTACAGTATATATTGAGACTTTGAACGAGATGTTGTAGTTCTACTAGCGTTCCCGTTAGGAGAACTGTATCGTCAGCATACCTTATATTGTTGATCGTCTCACCATTTATTATCAGACCAAGATCTTCTTCCTCGAGTGCTTGTTCACAGATAGCTTCACTATACAGATTAAATAAAAGTGGCGATAAGATACATCCCTGCCGGACTCCTCGACGGATTTGAATTTCTTCTGTTAGTCTGCCCTCAACCTTGACATTTGCTGTTTGATTCCAATATAGATTGCATATAATTCGAATATCTCGGCTGTCTATATTTTTCTTTATTAGAACTTGTCTTAGTGGTTCATGTTGTACTTTGTCAAAGGCCTTTTCGAAATCAATAAAGCAGGCGTAAATTTCTTGGTTCATGTCTAAGCATCTCTGTGAGAGAACGTTCATTGCAAACAGAGCCTCCCTTGTACCCAGCCCTTTTCTGAATCCCATCTGAGTGTTACTGATGTCTACGTCTAATTTCGTATAGATCCTATTAGCATAGGATTACACCAGACTTATATAATTTTCCAGCTCTTCCTGCTACTGTATGTCATAATTAGTGTTTGTCTGTCTTCTTCTTCTTCTGGTAGCACTACAACCCGGGGTGGGTCTTGGCTGACTGCACAACCTGCTTCCATCTCGAACGGTCGTCCATGATGTTTAAGTCAGTGTGTAGCCCCATTGTTCTCAAATCTGACCATATATTATCCCTCCATCGCATTCGTGGACGTCCTAAGGGCCTTCTCCCTGTCGGGACTTCTTCCCAGATTAACTTGGTAAGGCGGTTATTAGGGAGCCTATGAACATGGCCGGCCCATCTTAGACGTTGGGATTTAATCTCTTGGACTACGTCGCTAGCACTATACATTTGTTTGACCTCGGCATTTGTTCTCATTCGGTATGGGATATTTGTCTGTCTGTATTTGGATATGTATAGTCTAGTTTCTGATATTTCCGTGACTTTGCCTGTTTAAATCGTCGTTGGAGATAGGAAGTTCATTATATGACTGGTAGTAGTTTTCGTACAGTTTGCAATAATTGTTCTCAATCATTCGAGGCATATAGTTGGTTCTGCATCTCCTCGGGATGGTCTTTTTTGATGCCAGTTTGATTGCCTTCACAAATGCTTCGTAGTATGTAGGATGGCTCCATGGATGTTATGTAGTCATCTAGTTTCTCTGAAAATTTCTGCAAGTTGGCTTTCTTAAAATTGAAACGTGCCCTCTTGGAATTGTTTGTGGTTGAA